TTTTTGGCAGTACCGGGGATTGAACTTGGGACCTTGTGCATGCCAGGCAGGAGCAGCGCCACTGAACTACATACATCCCTGGCCAGAAGATATTCCTTTTATTGCAAGCACAAGGTCCTGAGTTCAATCTCCAGTACAAAAAAACAAAACAAAAAAAAGAGAAGATATTCCTTTTAAAGTAGTTGGAATGCTCCCTTTGAAAAATGAAAGAAAGGCACTTTGGAAACTTTTACATGATTGGTATACTTGTTCTTCTATATATAGATATGGCCAAGTAGAACTGTATATGTGTATTAGTGAAAGCCAATAGGAGAAACTAATCGCAAATCCCACAAATCCAAACTTGTATCATGTGTTAAGTGTGCATTGGCAAGTACCTTATGAGATTAAACTTCTCCATCATTTGACATACACCAAGAACAGAATACTAGTTCATAAGGATTCATTAAAACATCAAACCTGTATGTCATTCAAATGACTCTTTGTAAAAATTTGTTTACAGAATACTTAACTCCTATTAACTATGATATATTTTTTCACATGGTAAACCAGTATTTTGGGAGGTGCAGTGCCTTGCTAATACAATATTTACATTTATTGACCCCATATGATCCAATGACTATAATGAATGAAGTAAAAATTGAAACTAAAGTGAAACCATGTGATATCTACCCTCAGGACTTTAAACACCTCTTCAAAACTAGAGAATGTTCCAGTGATGGTGACAGTAAATGGCTATGTGATAGCATCATAGAAGAGGTACACCATTAGGGCAATAGACTGTCAGGACATTAGCTGAACAGTTTATTTGGAAAATAAAACATAAATAAAAACGAACTACAGTGAAAAGTGGACATCCTTTCAACAGAAGATAACTTCTTGTTCAGCAGACTAAGAAACTCATCTCTGGAGTTCATATTATTGATACATTGGATGAAACAATGACTGCTATTTTATTCACAACTGAATAAAAGGAAAACTTCAGTTAACTGTTGATTTATCAGATTGAATTGATTTTGTTTTAAATTCCTATCTTAGTGCTAGGGGTATAGCTCGGTTGTAAAATGTGTGCTTAGTATGTATGCATAAGGCTATAGAGTCACACGGCACTAACATTTTAAAAAAACACTATCTACTGCCAGGGATTTAGCTCAGTGATGCCACCACCTGCCTCACAAGCTCAAGGTCCTGAGTTTGATCCCTGGTACCAATTTTAAAAAATACTATCTACTGTAAACATAATGGCAATTTTAGGGTATTACCAATTGAAATTTTTTTTTTCTGGTACCGGGGATCAAACTCAGGACCTTATTCTTGCAAAGCAGGCAAGCTGCCACTGAGCTAAATCCCTGGCCCCTGAAATTTGTTTTATTTTTAAAAATCCTTTTGGCTAAATATCTTACATTGTATTTAATTTAAATATTTCTCTTTCATCCTTGCTGAATTTTGCATTCTTCCTATGGGGCAAAAGAGTTTGTATAGTATTAAACTTAGTAAATTTTTTAAAAGAATATCATATTCTGAAGCTTTCACCTCCTTTCTAAAATATTAAAAGTGGGCCAGGGATTTAGCTCAGTGGTTTTGCCACCTGCTGCGCAAGCGCAAGGACCCAAGTTCAATCCCCGGTACCAAAAAATAATAAAATAAAATAAAATAAAATATTAAAAGTATACTTCCTATATACATTAAGTCATCTGTAGATTATTTATAATTTCTAATACAATATAAATGCTATTTAGTTGTACACATTTTATTTTTTAGGAAATAACTACAAGAAAAACAAGTCTGCACACATTCAACAGAGATGGATTTTTTTCCCCTGAATATTTTTGGTCCATGGTTGATTGAATCCATGGATGTGGATACAGAGGGCCAACAGTATGTTGATCTAATATTTTGGATATATTGTATTAAAATAAATTTCACCTGTTTCCTTTAATATGTGACTACTAAAATTTTTTTAAGTTATATATATAGTTCACACTGTATTTCTCTTGGACTAGGGAAATACTGCATAGCCTGTATTGTATTGAGGCCTCCATCTAGAAAACGCCTAAACTCCATTAGAAGAAAATACCATGTTAGACAATGGACAAACTCCCATTTCTTTCAGAAATGGCTCTCCAGTTAAACATATTCTAGATCCTTCTTGTTTCAAACAAAGAATTGAACAAGACAAGCCAAAAATGGTGACAAGGTTTATTTGAAAAGGGAGGTGAGGGAGAAACTGACTCTGCAGAGCATACTTGAGGTGAATAAAAGGAACAGAGAAAAGCAAAAATAAAAGTACACACTGGCCCAGAAAACACAAGATGGGCTACTGTGAAGAATCATGATAGCGGGTTCCTCATGGTGTCTTGTCTCTTTTATGTCATCCCCTACTACAGGGTCCTGAGGCGGTGCTGTGTACAGCTTGGGACCCCATCATGCCTCTTTTCACAGCCAGCCTAAGCCATGTCCTATCTCCTATTTCGCCACCAAGAAAATCCTAACTTTCCTTCTTTCAACATAATCAATTTGCCAGATGATTCATGTTCCAAAAGGACTGGAGTAAGCCCACTCTCAAGTTAGGCCTCATAAGACCTCTCATATCTCCCCCTAACCTCTCTGTTCCCCAACTCCCAAGCTCCCAACTCTCTGGCCTGCCTCTAACACTAAGCTGGCACTCCCAACCTTGTTTTCAGCACCTTCTTCTTCCCTTCATGTCTTCCCTGGGGGACATACATTCTTCACTCACAAATCACATAAATCCCAGTATCATGTAAATTCAGGTGATTCAGAACTTTATTTAATCTATTAGTTTAAATGTCAGGATAGTCTGTTTTAAGTAAACCCCTGAAAGAAGAACCTAGGTACCTTTATTTATTTATTTTATTTTTTTGGTACCGGGGATCGAACTCAGGACCTTGCACTTTCGAGGCAGGTGCCGGAACCACTGAGCTAAATCCCCGGCCCCACCTATGTACCTTTAAAGAAAAGAGCTCTCCTGGTTCCTGTTGCCCATGCCACAAGCAGCTCTTCTCTGCCATGTACCTCTGCTTGTGTAGGGAAATGGGGTCTGTATATTTACAGGGGAAAAGCCTTATTGGGCTTTCTGGCTAATCCTTGATAGAGAAAATTTGAACTATAAGTTAGTTATTAAGGTAGCTGAAGTAGAATAAGTAATACATTCCTTTAAGATTTACCTTTCTCATAACTCTTATTGTTTAAGGTGATGGCTATCTGAACCTTTGACCTGTAACCTAGCTGTAGATAACATTTAACCTGGAGCAAAGCAAAGTAGAAACGTTTGGGTAGTTTACAATGTATGTGTTTTAAGCGCCATCTGTTTGTTATATGTCTGTGACTTTAACCATTAACAGGAACTAGTTGTAAAAGAGAAACAAATTTTACTAAGACCACCAGGAATGAGGTAATGGCTAAGATATAAAATAAAATGTTAAAACAAAGAACGGCACGGACATTGATCAGATGAGTTTCTGACAGTCCTGCCCTGCTAGCAAGTAAAGGCTTTGTTTTTTTACCCAACTTCTGTGTCTCTGTACATTTCTTTCTGCCATTCCGGAACATCCTGACTAGAAAGAGTTAATGCTTCACTGGAAAAAGCAATTAATAAGACAAGAATGGAGGTGGACAAGCAAAGCACAGGGGAAGCCAGGTGCTGGAAACCAAAGTAGCCACCCCTCACCGACCTCAATATAATGCAAAGGAAACAAGGGGCAGCCACTTAAAGCCTCCCCCATATATTCTCCAAATATCTATATATTTCCATTCTATGGCTATTATATTAGTGCACTAGCCCCCTTACTTGCTAATGCAACCTTGTATGTAAGGTCCTTTTTAACAAACCTATAAATTCTAAAGATTCTGACAGGCTCACTTAAGAATGTGCACATCAACAATGGTGCAGGGCCAGGCCAGGGATTTAGCTCAGTGGCATCACATCTACCTTGCAAGCACAAGGGTCATGAGTTTGATCCCTGGTACCAAAAAAAAAAAAAGAGTGCAGGGGGTTCGGGGTCTTGGGGCCTGGAATTTATCTACGACAACACAGGGAACCAATCAGATTATGACAAATTCCATGTAGGGGGAAGGGCCCTTGAGCCCCCATAAAAGCAGCCAAGAACACAGGGCCAACAGGTTTTTTCTGGCTCTAGACACCCTACTCTTTCTCACAGGGTAGCCTTCTGTCCTCTTTTCCTCCTTTCATGCAAATAGATTTGATTCTCCCTTCTAAACCTTATATTTCTAATTCTTTATTGATACATTTACAATTCCCAGTTGGCTGGGAATCAGCCAGTGTGGTCACAACCCCCAGACACAACACCTTGAAGCCAGCAGACTATGAACTGAAATGAGTCCAAATAAACCTCTGCTCTTTTAAATTGTGTTGGGTATTTTGTCCCAGCAACAAGAAAAGTGACTAAGACAGATTTTGGTACTGGATTAGTGGGGTTCTTGCTGTAGTAACCTGAATATGTGGTTTAGAAGCTTTTGGAACTGATTCTTGGGAGCAGTTTGAAGAGGTCTTGGAGATGCTATCGGAGAAAAAAATCCCTAGAATGAGGTAAGTCAAGTTTGTGGGAAATTCTGGTCAGATCTCAGAAGACCAGAATGGTCACAGAAATGAAGATGGTAAATGAAAGGGCTGTCGAAGAAGGGGCACACAAATGTTTAAGCAGCAAGCTTTATTGGGGCAGCAGTCTGCCTCCTGCTGGGCTGACTTACAAAATGGAGACCAGCAGCACCATGAGCTGAGCTGGAGGCTTATATAGGGGTTTTGTATGTGGGAGAGTACATAGTCCTTTGATGGGGGTGGGTGATTGCAGTTAGGGCATGTAGCAACAAGTTTTGGTTGGGGGATGGAGTAACAGGCTCCAGGAAGTCCCTATCTTGTGGGAACATCTGGTCATGAAACCAGTGGGGCAGAAAAGCCCCTAACTAGGTAGAAGGTTACTAACTAGGAGGGGTCAAGCCTTAGTTATGCAGAAGTTCCCTGTTTGCCATTACAAGAGGAGAAGAGGGGGGAGGAGGGAGCTTGTTCTTGCGGGGGTTTCAGAATACCTAACATCCCAGACTTTAATTCATTATGGAATTGGGGTGATGGTCTCTCTTTTTGTATCTACTTCCTGCTGATCTGGCATGAAGTTTTGGGGGAATGGGGAGTTGGCTGGGAAGTTGATATGGCACTGGAGCCCCTGTAGTGTTTCTTGGTAGGCCTGGAATTGTTGGAGCGCCAATTTTTTGGGAGCAGCTACGATTGTCATGGTGGCCAGATCTAGCAGGCAGAGAGGAGTGATGAGAGGTAGGTAAAAGGACTTTGGGCAGCAGGACCACCGTGAGGGCCTGAGGTAATGAGGGAAGATTTTGGTAAGTTTTACTCGGAAGGCGTCAGCAACAAAAGGGGGGATTGGTGTTCCTTTGTGGAAGTCAAAGAAAACTATTATTTGTAAAATCCTTTTAACATAATACTCAGGAGGCATGTCCGGCTTAGGGGATTGAGGGAAAGTCAGAAGGTGGTAGAAAAGATGGACTAAGAATCTGGTATGGAACTTGAGGGAAAACCAGGAGTGGTTAAGGAGCCCCTTGTGCCAGCAGGTGGGTCTGATGGGCTGGCGATGGCAGCGGCAATATCCAAGGAGGAGAGCTAGATTTCCCCTTCGGTGCCAGGTAAAATCGGGGGAGGAACCTTTATAAGGGACGCAGAAGGGGCAGGTCTTTTTTGGGTACATGAGGCAGCAGACGAGGCTTCGGACTTTTCCCGGGAGGGATTGTTGGGCAACATGGGAGAAGAATTGGGTCCCCAGGGTTTGAGGGCAGAGGGGCCTTTTGGACATGGGGGAAGTGAAGTGAGTAGAGATAACCAGCAAATAAGGAAGAAAGTATGAAGGGAAATTTTCTCAGGGGAGAAGTCTTGGAGGGTTCCCTGATAGAAGTGGTCAGTTACCCATTGGAAGATCCCCTCTATTGACCCGTCTTGGGGATGAAACCAATGTAAGACTTGTTGCAGGTGAGAAATGAAATAAAGAAATCATGAGCGCAACCAAGCCTGAGTCATGTGTTCCTTGTTGGCAATTGGTTGAGTGGTCCTCAGGCTGGTGAAGTGGTCAGGTCGGGGCTGGTGGGGATTCTTTTATAGTCAGCTAGGAGAAGTTCATGGACCATCTGGTTGGTAAAAGCCTTGAATCTTTCCTGAAGGAAATTTTGAAAACAGCAAAATGAGGATGGGCCGAAGGCCAGGATCAGGCAGAGTTACCAGAGGTCCCATAAGTGCTCCCACCCAGGGTCTCCAGCCTGTGGTGGTCCAACTCCACCAAGACTCTGATTCTTGTATCTCATATTTTGATTCCATAGCCTTGAGGCAATCTTTGAGTCTATCCATGGACTCTCTGACCACCCCTGACCAGTTGGCATAATAGCAGCATTCCTCTCCTAGGAAGAGGCAGGTTCCCCCATGTTTTACAGTTAGCAAATCCAGTGCCCTGCCGGAATTCCAGTGTCCACAGACCTAATTTAAGCAGGACAAAAAGAGTAGGATGCCCTGTGTACTCAGGTAACATAAGAAAAGACAGCATTTTTTTCTTTTTGTTCCAATGGCTAGGTGCAGCAGCTATCAGGCCAATACCAAATATCAAGAGGACACACAGAATTAATATCAAAATGGCCAAGGCAGGGAGAGATATAGTCAATAAAGGGGCACAGTTACTCAGCCTCATGTATGATGACCTATTATGAGGTTTTGGCCTGGGGGCAAGGATGTTCTGCAATCCTGGTCAGCTTGAGCCAGGTAGGTCCTAGAGGAGAATAAGAAAAGGCAGAAGGTGTAGGGGGAGGATCGAGTGAAGGGGGTTTGGTCTTTTTGAGCTTGGAAATGTGGAACCAGGGGGCCTTTTCTCAGAGTTTAACCGCTGTTGGGGTGGTCAAGAGGACCTGGAAAGGGCCTGTCCATTGGGGGAGAGTTTGGCGGGGTGAAGGGTTTTTAGAAGGACCCAATCGCCAGGGGCGAGGGGAACAGAGGAGGGTGGGATAGGGAGAGGTTTAGGAAGACTGGAGTCTGCATGTTCTCTCATGAGATGTCAAACCAGGTTTAAAACAGGAACATAGTCGCCCAGAGCGGGAGTTGTGGAAGGGAGATTGTCTAGGAGAAATGGCCTGCCGTACATAAGCTTGAACGGGCTAAGAAAGGTGGGGCTGGAGGGACTAATACAGACGAGAGCAAGAGCAATGGGGAGAAGGGCAGTCGAGGGCTCTTGAAGCTCTAGAGTTAATTTGGTAAGGTGGCCTTTTATGATATGGCAAGACAAAGGCTCAGTGGTCAGTGGGGAGAAAACAAGTCCATCAACTCCAACAATCGAGACCCCTGAGGGACGCATAGGTCTGGGGCATTCAGGCAAGGCAGAATAAGTGACGCCAGTATCAATAAGAAATGAGATCAGCTTACCTGTCACGTGGATAGTTACCCTGGGCTCCTTTGATGTGATGGGTGAAGGAGTCAACATCCCGGGGCACCGTCAATCTTCTGCAGCTAGGCCCAACAGGTCAGGTAGAAATGAACCGGATTCTCTCGTGGGAAGGGAGGGGACTGGCCTCCCACGCTGAGGGGAAAGAGGACAGTCTACCTTCCAGTGTCCCTTCTGTTTGCACAGAGGGCAGGGTCCTGATGGTGGTTTTGGGGACTAAGCCCAGTGGCCGACTCTGCCACATTTAAAACAGGAACCAGGAAGGATCTTTGCCGATACTCGCTGACTGGTCCGGGAGCCTTGTAGGGCAGCAGCCAGTAGCTGGTACTTAGCCCTATCATGCTGGGCTTTTTCTGCCTTTGCCTGATCCTCACGACCATTGAAAATTTTAAAAGCCATAAGTTTTTTTTGAGTATCAGGAGCCAACTGAGATATAAAATGAGTATTAAGAATTAAAGTTCCCTTGGCCCATGCAGGATCAACTTTGGTGAATTTTTGGACGGCCTCAGTTAAGCGAGCCAAAAACTGGGCCAGATTTTCATCATCCCTCTTGGGTAGTTTTTCTGAGTTTATCATAGTTAACTGCCTTAAACGCAGCCCTTCGGAGGCCCACAATGAGGTAAATAACCATCCCACTGCAGAGACCTCGGTCTGCGTGGTCCACCTGATAATTCCAATTGGGTTCCTCCTGGGGGATGGCAGTAGTACCCACGGGATTGGTGTTGTCTGCCTGGTGGACCTCGTCTGCGTGTGCCAGGGCCGCCAGCCAGACCCTCTCTTTCTTCCGGGAGAAGAATGGAAGAGAATAACATAGAGATTGTGTCAAGAGAGATTGTAGGATTTTGTCAGATACCTAAACTCCTTGAGGTATGTGTTGGGGTGTGGAGAGAAAGAGCCTAAGCGCTTTTCAATTTGAGAGAGGTCAGTGAGGGAGAAAGGGACATGGACTCTAACAACGCCCTCAGCTCCCACCACTTCATGCAGGGGCAGGATGGGGGCCAGGGGAGGGAGTCGGCCATCCCGGGACCGTGTGTGTGGAGGGGAGGGAAGGACAGGGGTATCGGGACTGGAGTCGCCCTTGATGGGGGGGCTGGAAGGGGAAGTAGGGCAAGTTGGAGTAGAAGGTTCAGGGGGTTAGAGAATTTGAGAGGTGGGACAGGAGGAACACAAAGAGGGGTGAGAGTGAAGAGTGAAGAAGGCTTGAACATAAGGGATTTTAGACCATTTGCCATTGCACTGACAGAAATTGTCCAGATCATGGAGCATAATGAAATAGAAAGTGCTGTTCTCAGGCCATTGGGACCCGTTGTCTAAGTGGTATTGAGGCCAGGCAGTATTACAGTAAAAGATTAGTCACTTTGGCCTAACTGAGTCCCCAAGGCTGAGGGTTTTAATGTGTTTTAGAAGATAACCCAGGGGGGTGTCCCCAGGAGGGCGAGACTGAGTGGTGCCCATTAGGTGTCTGCCAATTAGAAAGGGTGAGGACAAAGGCTCCGAGAAAGGGGTAGGGAAGGAGCATCCTCATTCCTTAACCACTCTCCAGAGATGAGAGGGCTCCGAGCCCAGGGGTAAACCATTCGCCAGTTGGACATCTCCGAGGTGGCAAGGGTTCAGGCTTTCCAAAAGGCTGGGGGGGTGCTCCTGACCGAGCGCTAGGGTTTCTGTGGGGCTTCCAGAGCCCAACAGACAGGAGACCCGACAGAGGGAGACCCTTGACTCACCCATGAAGAGAATCAGGCTGGTGTTGAATGCAGCTTTGGCAATGGGAAAGGACTGAAAGCCCTGGAGGTGTGTCCCAGTTCGGCAGCTGCAGATCCAGGAAGAGGCGATCAGGAGTGCAGCTCCCGGCCCCAGTGGGACGAGGCAGCAGGTCCCGATAGCACCACCTCCTGGGTTTCGGCACCAGAATGAAAGTGTTGCCTAAGAAGGGGCACACAAATGTTCGAACAGCAAGCTTTATTGGGGCAGCAGTCTGCAGCCTGCCAGGCTGACTCACAAAATGGAGACCAGCAGCAGCATGAGCTGAGCTGGAGGCTTATATAGGGGTTTTGTATGTGGGAGAGTACGTAGTCCTTTGATGGGGGTGGGTGATTGCAGTTAGGGTATGTAGCAACAAGTTTTGGTTGGGGGATGGAGTAACAGGCTCCAAGAAGTCCCTATCTTACGGGAACATCTGGTCATGAAACTAGTGGGGCAGAAAAACCCCTAATTAGGTAGAAGGTCACTAACTAGGAGGGGTCAAGCCTTAGTTATGTGGAAGTTCCCTGTTTGCTGTTACAGGAGAACAGTGGGGAGGGAGGAGAAGGGAGCTTGTTCTTGCAGGGCTTTCAGAATACCTAACAGTAAAGACCAGGCTCAGGAGGCTTCAGTTGGGAACAGGCTCTCTGGTAGTTGGATTCCAGGTCATTATACTCTGGCAGAAAATTCCTCAACATTTTTGCTCATGTCCTGGAACTTTGCAGAAGACTTAGGGTGACAGACTAATCTGTTGGAGGAAAGTTCAGGACAGCTCAATATTGGAGGTGTGGGGTGATTGTTTTGGCTGCTTTTAGCCAGGTTTATAGTGAAAATCAAGAGCAAAAGGCTTATTTTTAAAGTTTTCAGTTTTGCCAGAAAGTGCCCACAAAGATAGAGAGGTTGGTTGCTGAAGATCAGCATTAAAAAGAAGCCAAGTGGGCCGGGGATTTAGCTCAGTGGTTTCACCGCCTGCTGCGCAAGCGCAAGGACCCGAGTTTCATCCCCGGTACCAAAAAAAAAAAAAAAAAAAGAAGAAGCCAAGTACTTTGCATCCAGACAATGGGAAAAATGGCTTCAGGAATCATTAAGACCCTTCCCTCCCTTCATAGGATCAAAGGTACAAAGCCATAACGTTTTCATCAGAGAAGAAAGCCTGGGCCACTGTGCTGGAGAAGGGCCACCATGCTGGAGAAGGGCCACACAGGGAGTTGGTTCCCTGGGGCGCAGTTCATATTGTTCAGCCATCCTGGCATTCAGAGGCCTCTGTAGCCACCGTCAAAGGACCCAGCTGTTTGACCTGACAACAGATCTTGACATCATTGCTGGTTTTACAGCATACAGAATGCAAGAGTTGTGGGCTTATGGAGGCTTCCACCCCAATTTCAGAAGGCCTGAGATGCCAAGCAGTATGCCCCTGAGATGGCAGTGCGTGAAACTGTGAGAGTGAAGCCAAAAGTGCAGTAGAAACCACAGAAAGTAGAAGCCAGGAACATGGAATGTCTAAGGAAAGCCACAAGGAGTGAGCAAAGCCTGCCTAAGAGAGAAGCCATGAGGGGTGCAACCACCTGCAATGCTGTGGAGGTGGGGCCACCCAAGCTCTTTGGAGTTCACATCCTGCCACAGCCGGGCCCAGGTGCTGGACATGGAACTACAGGGTTTAATGTTCTCCCTGTTGGATTTCAATTTTGCTTTAGGCACATTTGTTTCTATCCTCTTTTTGGAATGGGAATGTTTACCCTGTGCAATTGTATGTCAGCAGTGTTTAACTTTCCTTTTGATTTTTACAGGGACTCACAGCTAAGAATTTGCCTTAATGTGCATCTAATGGTCAGAAATGTTGAACATTTTGTCATGTTTTTATTGGCCAGTTGTACTTCTTCTGAGAAGTCTTTTACTTCACTTGCCCATTTCTTTATTGTGCCTTCATAGGTGGTCTAATTTTTCTCAGTGCTTTATACCACTAGATAGTACTACTTAAGTTACAACTAGTTGCCCATCTCTAGTTACCCACAACTACTTACTCACTGATACCAGTCACCCAGTTAATCACTAGCTATCATGTGGTCAGAGGTGGGGCTTCAGAAGTACCTGGATCTAGAATGTGATACTGAGATTCATTTATGGTGCAATGCTAGGATCAAGGAACACTAGGATTAAGGGTGTGTGTGCTACCTGCTCTAAGTAGCCTGTATAAGATATAAATAAACGGTTGTTGCTTTGTTACCTACTGTCCACCATGAACTGTTTCTCCTCTGCAATGCCTATTTGACATGCTATCCTGCCTTGGAGCCAGGTGATTATGGACTGAAACCTCTACGAACTATGAGCTAAATAACCCTTTTTCTTTTAACTTTGGGTATCGGGTATTTTGTCCTAGCAATGAGAGAAAAGTAACTAAGAATTTGGTACCAAGAGAAGTGGGGTCATTGCTGTGACTATATTTGACCATGTGGTTCCAGAATTTTGGGGGCTGGCTGGTGAGAAGAGTTTGGAAAGGTTTAGCAATGTCAGCTGAAAAAGTAGAGTTGGAACACCTTATGGCAGATTCTGGTCAGCTCAGAAAAACAGGCTCAGGTTTCTGCTGGGAAGGACTGCATTGGCTCTTGGACTCCAGACAATGTATTATACCTTGGCAGAGTTTGTCTGCATTTTGCTCGTGTTCAGAGACTTTGTCTGAGACTAAGATTAAAGGCGGCAGACCAATCCTGCAGAAGAAATTTCAAGACAGTGGAATGTTGAGGAAGTGGCATAACCTCTGTTGGAGGCTTTTAGCTAGATCTATGTTGAGAATCAAGAGCAAAGAGACCAGCAGAATGATTTAAGATGCTCTGAGTTTGGCCAGAAAGGAAGCACAAATAAAGCTGCAAAGATACAGCAGAAGAGATCTGGACTGCTACGGAACAGAAGAAAAGATGGCCTGAGGAGACCACATGAAACAGCAGGACTCTATCCTTTGTAGCCTCAAAATTGCAAAAGTGAAAGACTTTGCTGTGAAAGAGCCCCAGAGCATCATGTTCCAGAATGGCAGTGGCCTAGGGAAGTTGTTTCTTGGGATTTGGGTCATAGACACTGGACCCCTATAGCCAAGAAAGAAGGAAGCCTGGCTACTGCTCCAGGTAGCATCAAACCTTGGTATTATCCACGTGGTGCTGGTTTTAGGTGCATGCAGAATGCAAGAGATATGGGGTCAGGAAGCCTTTTACCCAGATTTCAGAAGGGCTGGGAGGCCAGGCAGTGTGCCTCTGAGAGGGCACTGTGTGAAGCCAAAGGTGCACTGGAAACCCCAGAAGTTTGGAGAAACCAGGTACATGGATTGTCTGAAGACAGCTGCCAAGAGGGAGCAGAACCAGCCCGAGAGAAGCTATGGGAGCTACAACCACTCAGTGGTGTAGGAGTGGAGCTACTCAAGCCTTCTGGAGTTCACAACTCGCAACGGATTGCCAGGGATGCTGGAAGTGGAATCGTGGGATTTAATGTTTGCCCTGCTGGATTTTGGACTTGCTTTGTTCCCATTCCTTGCTATCCGATTTTAACTTTTGGAATGGAAATGTCTACCTTGTGTCCCGAATGTTGCAAGTGTTTAACTTTCTTTTGGCTTGCAGCTAAGAATTTGTCTTAATTCTCAGAGAAGACTTTGGACTTAGACTCTTCAGCAATGCTGAAACTATTAGGACCTTGGCAACTCTCTGAGATGGACTAAATGTCTTTTGCATAAAGAGATATGTGAGTCTCTGGGAGGCCAAGAGAGAAATGTTGTAGCTTGTTTAGTTGTCTCCCCAAAGCCTCATGCAGTCATAGAGGGGAATTTTTCAGAGGTGGCTGGATCTAGGATGTGTGATGGTGGAATTCATTCACGGGGCAATGCTAGGATCAAGGGCACTAGGATTAAAGTTGTGAGTGCTATCCACCCTAAGTATCCTAGATAAACTATAAGGGATAGAAAGAGCCGTGGTTGTCCCTTGTTGCTTTGGTACCTTCTGCCTGCCATGAAGTGTTTCTCCTCTGTGATTCCTGTCTGCTGTACCACCCTGACTTGGAGCCAATTGATTATAGGCTGAAATCTCTACAAACTGTGAGCCAAACCTTTTCCTGAGTGCTAGGTATTTTCCTCAGCAACAAGGGAAAAGTACTTAAGACAGCTAGTTACAAGTAACCAGAACTAGATACCCACAACTAGTTACCAATGACTAGTTGTCCATGACTTAAAACATTGCTAGCTCAGTAAGTGCTAACATACTAATAACTAGCTACCCAAAACTAGTCACCAATCACTAGTTGCCAACTCATTAACCATTGCTAGTTACCTATTAGTTGTCATTGAATAGTTACCCATTACTACTTTCCCAGTAAACTCCTGATAGTTACAACCAGGACCAGTCACCAACTCATGACCAATGACTAGTTGCCCACTTGTTGACTATTGCTAGTTACCTGTAACCAGGACTAGCTACCTACTAGTTACCAGTGACTAGTCCACACTTCATTTAGTTACCCACACTTACCAATGACTACTCAAAACTAATTACCAATAACTAGTTACCAACAACTCATTAAACATTGTTACATTGCCTTTGACTAGCCACCCACTACTGCTAGTTACCAATAACCTGGAAGGTAGCCACTTGTTACCAATGACTAGAGGCCCACTAGTTACCAGTAACCAGGACTAGTTACCAGGTTTGCCCCCAATTAACTAGTTACCACTTAGCAATGACTACCCACTTGATACCAATTATTAACCACCCACTAGTTAACCATTGCTAGTTACCAGTTACCAATATTGCCAGTGGCTAGTCATTAGATAACTTGTTAGTTACCATTAATGACATACTAGTTACCGATAACTAGTCCACAACCTATTAACTATCACTTGTTACCAATGACCAGTCAACCACAACTAACCATTGCCAATTACCAGTTGCTAAGGACTAGTTACCAACAGCTACCAACTAGTTACCAATGGCTAGCTGCCCACAACTAGCTACCAATGAATGCCATGCTATGAGCAGCTATCCTCTACCATACCTCTCTGCCTGGGAGATGACCAACCGTGCAAGGACAAACTTCCGTGTGAGCCAAAATAAACCTCTCCATCTTAAAAAAAAAAAAAATTAGGTGCTATAGTTCAAACCTGTAACACCTGCAAAATTCCTAGAATAAGTGGCATAATAAGGAAGGGGTCAAGTCAGAGCACAATGTGTGTTCAGTATGTTTATTTATAAAGAATGTTAATCACAAGCGCAAGGTCCCGAGTTCGATCTCTGGTACCAAAAAAAAAAAAAAAAAGATCTAGGCTTCCTATTTTCTGTGTTCAACCTCTGAAGAAGGTATTAAATGAAGTATCCCAAAGGGATGCTATATTTTAGACAAGGTATGAATGTGTTCCCCAAAAGTTCATGTGCTGGTAGCTTAGTCCCCAGCATTAGTGATGATGAGAGGTGGAAGAACCTTTAAGAGGCAGGACCTAGTGAGAGGCAATTAAGTCTTTAAAAGGGAATAATGCTTTTACAACACAAGTACATTCTTGTTTCAGGGCATTCTCATAAAAGTGAATTGTCACAAGCAAGTCCAACAACTCTCTTGAATCTCTTTGATTCCTGTCTCAACATTAGACCTCCTTCCTTCCCCAAATGGTCTTATCATGATTCCACCCACCATGAGGTCCTCACCAGAGCCAAGCAGATACTGGGCCATGCTCTTGGACACCCAGGACGCTGAGTTAAACAATGCTCTTTTCTTCAGAAATGAATCAGCCAGACATTTGTTATAGCAACACAAAATAGACCAAGAGGGAAGTGAAAAGTTCCAAAATAACACAAAATAAGATAAATTTGGTCATGGAGAATAGATGTTCTTCATCTGGGACACATGGAGGGAGGTCCAAGAATCTCTGAAACTATGAGTGAAGTTCTGGGTATGTGTGTATATGTTATTTAATAAATATAAGGGTCAAGAGCTCTCATCAGGTATCAAGGGTCCAGAAACCAAATAAAGATTACTGCTACCTGACTTAAAAAGTGAAACTTGATTCAACTGTGAAGGTAAAGAAAGATTATTTACATGCCAAACACTTTAAGAACTGATGGTTGTGAGGACTGGGATTTAGCTCAGTGGTTCTGTAGCCTATCCCATAAGCCCAAGGACCTGAGTTCAATTGGCGGTACCCAAAAAAAAAGAACCAATGATTGTGAGCATGTGGTTATTAAATCCATTACAGTGCACATCTGTTAACTCTATATATCTTCACAGTGTGATCTTCACCACAGCTTGCAAAATGTAACCACTCAGCACCTTCTCCTTCACTCTGTTCAGCTTTTCCACTGCAATTCTTCCAGCATAATTTTCTGATAGCAAGTGTATGACTTTGGCTAAAACCAAGATAGAAGAATCATAAAATTAATGTATGTCATGATTACAAAATTTTTTACTAGCTGCTCACCTATGTATTAATTTATGTATGTTCTACTATTAATATTATAAACATGAGCCAGGGATTTAGCTCAGTGGTTCTGGCATCTGTCTCGCAAGCACAAGGTCCTGAGTTCGATCCCCAGTACAAAAACAAATAGTTATAAACATGAATAGAAGTAAAAACCTGAAAATTAAAATGTATAGGTTTTTAATACTACCACTAATACCTTGGCAATTTTATTTTAACTTGAAAAATATTTTACTGTATTTACTTTTAAAATGGCCTCCCTAGGTTTGGGACTGTAGCTCAACAGTAGAGCATTTGCCTAGCACATGCAAGGCCCTGGGTTCAATCCCCACTACTGGGAAAAAAAAAAAGTCAAATGTCTTAGTGATCATTAGAATTCATAAAATGACTATTAAAGTAAGTCTTTCAGATAACAGTGTTAAAGAATTTTTCTAAGAATTTCAACTTTGCATTATACTCTAGATTACTGTTATTTATTTATTTTTTTACATCCCTGTGCGATGCATGGACTTTTACTCAAATTTTTATTGCTGTGTAAAGAAAAGTCTTGGTCTTTAGTGGACCTGCACTGGGCAAGACAACATTATTAATGCTGCCTATTTCCCTGAGAGTCCCCACAAGAGGCAGACCTAGAAAACTACCAAACACAGGTGACCACTACATGTCTATGAAAAGAGAACATCCTCTATATATTTAACCTGCAAAGTAGATCCTCAAACCAAAAAAGAATAAAGTGAGACATCTAAGTAGGTTTTAGAACAGTAAACCCTGAAAACAATACTGGCACACATAAATTATGTCAGATGCTGAGAGTTCCTGTCACCAGATGCACTCTCAGGATAAAAAGGTAAGAATGAAGTATAAATCTGAAGTAATGAAAGACATTTTTTTTTGTTGTTTTTGGTACGAGGGATTAAACTCAGGACCTTGCACTTGCGAGGCAGGCGGCAGAATCACTGAGCTAAATCCTTGCCCTGAAAGACATTTTAAAATCAGCCCACCAGGCTCTACGCAACCACATGCCTGTGAGCCCATGCAAGTGGTCAGTCCATCAGTAATGCTACGCCACAGTTTTTCTGAAATTCTGCTAAAGGAAATACTTCCTTGTGATGCACTGTGGCTTCAGTCCTCTCAATGAGAGCCATCTTTGAGGATGATGTGATATAGAAGGAAAGCAGCCCAGAGTTATTTAGAGGTGAGCTTTAGAAATAAATATAAATGCCAGGCTTAAACACAAATGGTAAGCTTTTTTACAAAGGCAAATAGTGAAAATATTAAAGCTCATTCATTTCATTAAAAGAATGATTGAGGGTCGGGGATTTAGCTCAGTGGCTCCATTCCTGCCTAGCACCAAAAAAAAAAAAAGTTCGTAAGTAATGACATCCTTGAAACAAACATATTTCTTCCCAAGGGAGTTATTTTGAGGACCAGTATGTCTTTGGCTATATAAAGGGCTTTTTTTTTTGGTTTTGGTATTTTTCTTTAAATTTACAATGCTAACACATCCCATTTAAAAGATACAGAGGGTTGGGGATGTAGGTCAGTGGCAGAGTTCCCTGAGTTTCAGCTTTAGTGCCACAAAAAGAAGTAAAGTAAAATTGTAAACAGACTTTGAGAAGCCAATATAAAAGACAGTGATTGGTTATTTTACCTTTGAATTTCACTGTAGCAAAACTAGAAATTTGGTAATTGGAATATCAGCAATATAAATAATATATTGTATTAAGTCAGGAATTAGTTGCATCTTGCAAGTCCTAAGTCACTCTAATACAGAAAAAAAATCTTAAAATTAAAAATCCAAATTCTTGTATGTTCTTTCTTACACTTTCTAATGGACTTCCTGCCAGTGTCCTACACAGGGGCCATAGAAGTGCTCTGGGTACAGGTCAGAGGCACAGCAAGCACTGTGAACAGGAGAGGAAAAGAAAAAGAGAAGGGAGGGAAGCCCAGGAAGAGACAAAGTGTCAAATGCTTTGAATACAGAATTTCAGTGAGTTTCTTTCTGCTTTGGCAAACCAATAGCATAAGTAATTTCAACTGCTTAACCCAGCATCAATGATGGGAAAGAAGCCATAACAGCTGCAGTGATAAAGGCAGAATCTCACTTTAATAAATATAAGATGCACTAAAATGCTTGGCCAATATGGAGATAAACACCCTGGATGAAACAGCTTGTAAATGACAAATGCTCACAAATCTCTCCATTAAGCCATTTACTTTCATCAAGATGCTATCATTTACAGTTGTATCTGAAATTGTATTTGGAACAGTACAGATATATGAAGGCTGAAGCCTAAGAAAATGTGATGCAGAATGATAACAGTAATGTTTTGAAAATTTAGACATTTTAGAGAATAAAACTTAAAATGAGTAAAAGAGTAAAACTTAAAATGACCTTTCCAGCCCAGGTGACTGGGCAAGTGGAGGAGGCTATAAACACAGGTACTGTACTCCATGCAAGCTCAGGGGGCAAAGACCATGGCCAGGACATGATGCTCAGGAAGCCCCAGTGTGGCTGAAAGCTAGTCAGGGGGCTTTGAGGGACATCTGATAGTTTGCTCCATTAGAGGATCCAATATCATGAATTCCAAGAGTACCCCTTAGTAGCAAGTATCACAGACAGAGATTTCTGTGCTCTCTGTGAAAATGTGATTGCCACTAAAGAACCTACAATTTATACTTACTCTGGTGGAAGCAAAAATAAGAAGGAAATACCTTTGGTTTGTTTCCATACAATGGACCCAGTCATTTATTTCTGGAACTTGATCAGTCTTTTTCCAGGTATATATGCAAATTTTTCCACATTCTAATCCAACTGCCACCACATATCTGTTTTTAAGGAAGGAGGGTGACAGCGATTAATTTAGTATGGATTTCTGTTATCTCCATCATTACTCAAAGGTAGTTCTTTACAGTGTTCCAACCCTCCCCAGGTTACAGAGGACTATGTTTAAAGGTACAGCCTGATTATGTTGTGTTGCTTTACTGTGTCCCCAGGGAGGCTTATCTCTACAGAGGCTGCAGCCAGAAGCCAGTATTTTCCCAGCTGGCTTCAGGAATCCCTATTCTACTAAAGATGGCTGTTACAAAAATGTACTATAGTCCTGCAGGTGGTGAAATTAAACAACATTCCCAGACACACCCTAATATGTAATTCACTAGTCTGAAGTACTGAGTTCTATCAAGGTAAAAATTCTTATGCGAAACATTAAGCATTTTGAAAATAACAGCAACTCAGAAACAAAGAGAACACATGAATTAAAATAACTGAGGGAGCAAGTGGTCATCTTAAGTGAAACATAAAACCAAGCCCCACGCAGAAACTGACCGTTGGGAAGGGTTAAGCATCCGGCAGACACTGACAGCTGTCACAGGCCCGCCCACATCCAGGACTGAGGAGCAGGGCCCGATGCTATGCTCAATGGAGTCTTCGCTGGGGTCACACTCACCCCACACCACCACCTAACAAAGAGATCACACTTGTAAAACTTTCTTTTTGCAAGGTTTTTAGGCAATGTATTAAGAGAGTCCCAATGGCTACTCTGACATACAAAAAACTCCATTTACATTTGTGTATGACATCCTGAACTTCAGAGCATTTCAAGCAACACAGAGAAGCCAAAGTGTGGCTGACACCAGTCTCTTGAGAAAACTACCAACATATAGTGGTCTAAGATGGACTGCCTCCACTCAGAGACCATGAGCATATCTAATATGCACTGATTCACAGATTCAGTTCTGATTCACAGAAATTCCATCAATCACATTCTTACTAAAAATAATCACAAAATTATGGAAGGAGACCAATAAAGCTAGAGACAAATCAAGACTCTAGCTTTTCTTCTACCTTGCCCACTGTTCAGGGAACTCAGCTATCAAGAAGACCTAACCTTGATGATAGCCCTCTTAAGAAATGAGGTTTCGGGGCTGGGGATTTAACTCAATGGTTTTGCCGCCTGCTGCGCAAGCTCAAGGACCTGAGTTCCATCCAGGTAACAATAAAAAAAGAAAGAAAAAGAAATGAGGTTTCCCTGGAAGCTCATACTTCAAGGGTGTGTAACTGGTCAGACAGAAAAAGAGAGAAGTACAACAGGAACCGGCTGCAAGGTTCTTACCAGAAAGCTCTCACCAATCAAGCACAAATAAATTTCTGACAATATTCACTGAAAGGTGTCCGTTCTGCTTCAGCCCTGATATATCCCTGAGAGCTGTGGCTGAGCCACCTTCTACTGGGTGTGGCTGTGGAGGGCAGAAACAGTCCTACTTCCTCAGGTCAGCACAGGCAAATAAACAAGAGGAAAGAAATAAACGGGCAAATGAGCAGAAGTGTTAGGAAGAAAGATGTTGAGAGGCTGGCACTGAAGTGTTTAACCTGAGTGGCACCATGCCTATACCACTCTCCACTTCAGTAATTTGTATCATGTTTATGACTGGACAGAGGAAAAGAAAAGCTAAATTGCCTCAAGGGCTTCCTTAGTCTCATGCCCTATTGGTCTGTACAAACTGCAGAAAAAGAAGACAAAAACAGTATGTTTCAAGAGTATAGAAACAGAGGAAACAGAGGAAAGAACAGGCCAGGCAGATATTTCCCAGGGAATTAGGGTGAAGATCATATTCAAGAACATATAGCTAACTTGTTTTTCTTTTCTTCAAGCTTAGGTCACACTCTCTGCCTCTATTCTACCACTGAATAAAAAGCCTTTTTATGTATATATATGAAAAACACAGAAGGGATTTCATGAACTGATTTTTAAAGGTTGTGTAAAGCAGAATTATGTGATTTTTAAAATTCAAACACACCTATAGAAATGTTATTTTATATATGAATAAATATTTAGTTCAAAGAAAATTACCTTTTTGTCTCGACTCCCAGTGAAGAAATACCTGCTGTCAGGACTCCAATCACAAGACCAAATAATTCTACTATGCACAGAAGTGATTTTGTTGGTGAAGGCAAAGAGACTGAAAATTGGATCTGAAAAAAAAATATGTACACACCACTCACAAAGCAGAGAAAGTGGTTTTTTTCACCAGTGAGAAAGCTCTGTTTAAGTGACAAAGACCTCCTGAGACTCAGTAATCAATTTATATATGCTCACTTTTGGCAACAGACTGAGGCCAGGCACTTGATCCCTCACTGGAAGGTTGTGGGTATGTAGTTATTTGGGGGTTATTTTTATATTTATTGGTTACTCTCTAGTGGCTGATGACAAACATCTCCCAGTAAACTAAAGGTTCAATTCACGCTTATGGAAGAAGCTTGAAGCAATTTAACCTTACTCTGGAAGTAGCCAGATTTGCATATTAGGCTATGCAAAAAAGATTAATGGGCTGCTTAAATGTTGGAAAAACTTTTTTATGGGCTGGGGATCTAGCTCAGTGGCGCCATGCCTGCCGGGCAAGTGCAAGGTCCTGAGTTCAATTTCTGGTAACCCCCCCCCGCCAAAAAAAGAGAGAAAAACATTTTAAAAGAAATATTTTTCTCACAGGAGTTAAATATAAAGTAACTTCTAAGCCTTATGTGGACTAAACCTAAAACACATAACTGCTTTAATAGCACTTTAACTTCTAAAAAATACATGTTACATGTTAGGAAACCATTAGTGATTCAGAAGAAAACACAAATATTCTTCAACTTACAGAAGTATTCTTGATAAATCCATAGTAACTTGAAAATATTAAGTAAAAAATTCCTTTAATACACCCAACCTACCAAACACCATAGCTTAGCAACACTATGCTGTAAAATACTGCTTGTTTAACGTGCAGCTAGCTGCAAGCTGCAACTTGCTACCACAGCATCATATCCCATCTATGGCTAGCACAGGAAATGATCAAAATTCAAAATCTGAAGTACGATTCCTACCAAATGCATATGACTTTTGTACCATCATAAAGTCAAAAAACCCTAAGTCAAACCATCACAAGTCAGGTTCTATCTGTAATCTATGCTAACACACACTACAGTGCAAGTTTTATATTTCCTATTCTCTGAAATATAAGGGACTCGAAATATCACAAGATCACAATGTATGGAAGTCATATGAATGGAAGCCTTTGTCTTCATCCTATTTCCCTTATCCCAACAACTGATTAATATGGATACAATGGACAAAACCGTTCCACTGATAACCTTCCCAATCAGAAGTTGGTTTACTGGACTGTGTGTGGTGTCATAGGCCTGTAATCCCAGCACTTGGGAGGCTGAGCAAGGAGGATCCCTGCAAGTCCAAGGCCATTCTGTACTACAAAGCAAGAACCTGTCACAAAAAAAAAAATTGCTTTACCGAACTCAGGTGAGATTACATCCTGCCTTTTCCACAATGACCAGGTTCGATCTCTGGAAACAGCTAGTAAGAACTTGTCATTAGGTGAGAAGGCCATCTGCGTGACAGTCAAACTGTGGAAAACTAAATTCTGCACCTGTTTCCAAGATGTAGTGTTCCAAAGAATGATAGCTGCATGCTCTTTCTTAGCTGCCTGTAGGACAGAGATGAAACAATGAAGCTATTTAAACAGAAATAAACCAAAAAGGACGTATTTTTTTAAATAATAGAGCTGGGAATATAGATCAGCAGTACCACACCTGCCTGGCAAGCACAAGGTCCTGAGTTCAATTCCTGGTACCAAAAATAAAATAAAATGAAATATTGTTCAGTTGTAAAACATGCAGAGTTGGTTTATCTTTTTTTTTTTCTAAATGACTCATTCAGCTGTGGTGGTGCACACCTGTAATACCAGTACTCTGGGAGTACTGAGGCAGGAGAATCATAATTTTAAACTCCTGCCTGGGCAATTTAGTGACTTAAGGAGAGTCTATCTCAAAATTTAAAAAGGGATGGAGATTTGGCTCAGTGTGAAGGTCCTCAGTTCAATCCCCAGTAACAATCCCCACACACACATACACACACATTAATGATAATAAATAAATTAAAAATCATTCAAATTAAATTATAAACAAAAACAGGAGACAAATGAAAGGAAGAAGTGACAAAAATCTAGCATCTGTTCCTGATAAAAACTCTTGAGAAAAACAGAAGCTGTAGGGCATTTCTGCAACCAGATAAAGAAGTCATGAAAAAGTTATATAAACATCATTCATTTTTTGTTGTTTTGCTTTGTATGTTTGAGACAGGGTCTTGGTATGCAGACCAGGCTGGACTCAAACTAGCAGCAACCCACATGCCTCAGCCTCCCAAGTGCTGAGAATACAGGTGTGTGCCACTATTCCCAGGTAAATGTCATTCTTTTTTTTGGCACCGGGGATCAAACTCGGGACCTTCTGCTTGCAAGGCAGGTGGCGGAACCACTAAGCTAAATCCCCGCCCACAAACATTATTCTTAATGGACAAAGACTAAATGTTTTGCTCCTGATATGAAGATCAATGCAGATTTCTGCTGTCACCACTTCATCTAAGTATTAAGACATTCACATGGAAAAGGAATAAAAGTTTTTTCATTCATAGGCAACATAAGCATCTATGTGGAAAATCCTATGGTATCTACAATAAAGCTACTAGGACTAATAAATCCACCAAGGCTGTAGGATAGAAGATCAGTATGCAAAAAGCAACTGTATTTCCGTATGTAAGCACTGAGCAATAAGATATAAAACACACAAGAAAAGATAAATCTGACAAAAAAATGTGTCTAAGACCTAACCCTGAAAACTGTAAATACTCCCGGTAATGCTAAGATGTTAACACTGGAAAAAACTAAGAGGAATATGAACATTTTAGGTTGTAATCTCTGAAAATTTTTTCTTTAATTCTAAAATTATTCTAAAGCCAGGTGTGGTGGTGCATACCTATAATCCCAGCACTAGGAAGGCTGAGGTAGGAGGATCACAGAGTTTGAGGCCAGCCTGAACCATACAGCAAGAACCTATCTCCAAATAATAAATAAAATAAATCTAAAATAAAAGATTTGTTTTAAAAAAGATAATTTCTGAGAGAAATTAAAGACCTAATAAATAGGCATATTTCATTCACATGTCAAAATATGAATACTGTTAAAATTTTCTCCAAACAGATCTACAGATTCAATGTAATATCCATAAAATTCCTGCAGTTGTTTTTTTCTGTAGAAACTGTCAAGCTGATTATAAAATGAAAAGTAAAAGGGCTAGAATAGCCAAAAATAATTTTTAAAAGTGAGAATTGAGTTGGAAGACAATACTGAGCTTCAAGATGTGTTATAAAACTGTAATTATTGATAAATTACAGTATGGCATGATCCCAAAACATCAGTGAAACGGAATAAAGCCTAAAAATGGACCCATAACTATATAGACAGTGGACTTTCAACAGAGGGTTGAAAAAGCCAGTACAGTGGCAAAGGAACAGACTCTTCAATCAGTGATGTTGGAACCACTAGATACCCACACAAAAGAAAATCAACATGAATCTGTACTCCACACCAAAATGTAAGAATTAAATTAAAATGTTTCCTAAGTTTAAATGTAAAACTTACAAACTATAAAACTCCTAGAACAAAATGTAGCAGAAAATCTTTGTGACCTTAATTTAGGTAAAGATTCCTGAGATACAACATGAAAGGTACAACCCAATACAGAAAAAAATGATAAGCTGGGTTTCACCAAAACACAAGGCTTCTGCTCTTAAATGTTATTAGAAATGAAAAGAGAAGCCACTGGGAAAACATCAATATAGCACATATCTGATGAAGTTGTATCCAGGGTATATAAAGGACTTTTTGTAACTCAGTAATAGGAAAAACCAATAAAGAAATGGAGAACACATATTTCAGCAAAGAAGATATATGGATGGATGGACTATTAGCACATGGAAAAAATGATCAATGTAATTAATCATTAGAAAAATGTAACTGATAGCTATAATAAGCTATTATACATCTACTAGAATGGTTTAAATTAAAAAGACTGACCATACCAAGTGTGGGTGGGTGCAGGGCAACTGGGAACTAATATACTGCTGGTGAGACTGTAAAATGTATATAACTACTTTGGAAAGTAGTCTGAGAAAATTTTAAAAATTTTAAAGTACATCTACCTTATCATCCAAAAAGTCCACTTACAGGCATGTGCTGAAGAAAAATGAAACAGCCAGACATGATGTTTCATGCCTGCAATGCCAGCACTCAGGAGGCTGAGACAGAAAGACTGCTGTAAGTTTGAAGCCAGCCTGGGCTACACAGTAAGTTCAAGTCCAGCTTGAACTACACAGTGAGACCCTGTTTCAAAAACAAAAAAATAAGAGCATGTACCCATACTTGTGCAAAGACTTGTACACACATTTCTAACTAGTCTCTTGGTAAAAGTCAAGATCTAGAAAATAATCCAAATTTCCATTAATAAGTGAACAGATCAATAAACTGTGGCATATCTACACAAGAGAAAACTACTCCACAATAAGAAGAAATGGATTACTGATATATACAACAACGTGCATGAATCTCAAATAACTATAATAAAAGAAGCCAGACCCCTCCCCTTTCAAAAGAATGCACATTACATAGATTCATATGTTAGAAAATGGAATCTACTCCATCACAACACAAAGCAGAGTCGAGGTTTCTAGGGATAGAGGGTAGGGTGTGAGACACCGTGGAGATGACACACACAGGGAAAAGGAATAACCAAGAGGCATATAAAACTGGGTATTGACAGATATTTTCTTTATCTTAAGTATGGTGGTTATTTTGCAGGTATAAATACATGTCAAAATTTATCAAATTGTCTTGCATATTAAATATGCAATTTAAAATATGTTACTAGCACCTCAATAAATGTTTTAATAAATGTTAATTTAGAAGAAAGATGCCCATACTCGCAATAAGCCAATCTGAAAAGGGATCACAAGTTCCATAACTGACAGTACCCTAAACTAAAAATTAGCAGCACAGCCATTTGAGCTACTGAGACCCATTCTTCCCAACAGTCCCTATAACTAAGTACAGCTGAACATTTAATTCAAAAAGAAACTCAGACTGAAAGTTAAAGGGTGGAAAAAATACTCCATGTGATAGGATCCCCAAAAAAAGCAGGAGTAGCTATCCTCTTTGCAGCTCAAGTGGACTTCAAACCAAAATCTGAAACACTTCTGGTCCCAAGAATTTCAGATAAGCAATACTCAACTTGTATGTACAAATCTATTGTGAACATGTGTTTTCATTCCTCTCAAGTAAAAACTTAAGAACAGAACTGTTGGTTCTTAACAATACGAGAAATTTCTATATTGTTTTCCAAAATGGTTTTGTCATTTTACACTCACATTAGCAGTATTAGACAGTTCCAACTGGTTCACACCTAAGCTGACATTTGTTCTTGTAAAACTTTTAAATTCATCTCCCTAATGAGTGTATAATACAATCTTGTTATTATTATTTTTTTGGTACCAGGGACTGAACTCAGGTCCTTGCGCTTGAGCAGCAGGCGGGGAAACCACTGAGCTAAATCCCCGGCCCCTACAATCTTGTTATTGTACTGATATAGTATTTTTCTGATTCTAGTGTTGCATTCCTTTCCTTGTGCTATACTGGCTATTTATCATCTTCTTGTGTCTACTTTTTAATTGGGTTGTCTATTAATGAGCTGTAAGAGTTCTATATATATTCTGGTCTTAGGTTATATGTATTATAAATATGGTCTGTTTAAGGACTACTTTTCATTTTCTTAATGATGTCATTTAACGTTCTAAATTTTGATGGAATCTTTTTTATCAATTTCTTTCTTTTACACATCATGTTTTTTATATCCTAGGTAATTCTTTCCTACCCTAAATTCATGAACATTTTCCCTTATATTTTCTTCTTAGAGTTTTATAGTTTTAGTCTCTCATATTTAGGTTCATAGATCTTTTCAACTTATTTTTATGTATGGAAATAAAGGGGTGAGGTTAATTTTTTACATATGGATACCAGGTGTTCTAGTACCATTTGCTGAAAACACTATCTTTTCCTCTGCTCTTGAATTGAGTTTATGTTCTATAAAATGTTAATGTTAAATAATCTTTCCAAACTCAGTGGACCATATATATGTGGTTCT